CACAATACAACATCAAGGGTCTTCCATATTTAATGCCTTACTCCTCAAGTAGAGATCTTAGCCATAACATTTCAGCCGCACCATTAGCCATGGACCTATACTCTGCCTCAACACTGGAATGAGAAACAACATTTTGTTTTCTATTCCTCCATGAAACAAGATTCCCTCCAACAAAGGCACAATACCCTAAGGTAGATGCCCTATTATCAACACACTTTGCCCAATCAACATCTATGTACACCTCCATTTTTATATGACTATTATTTTAGAACAGTATGCCTCGCTTGGACATCTCTTCAAGTAGGAAAGAATCCTCTTAACTACAAGTAGATGGGTATTCTAGGAGAATGCATGTATTGACTGACAACACTAATAGCATAAGATATCAAGATGTGTCGGTGTTAAACAAAGATAAAGAAGTTCCCAACCAACTGTTAAAACATAGCTTTGTCTTATAAGAGGCTTACCACCTTCTACACTTTTCTTATGATTTTGCTTAATAGATGTGTCGGTAGGCTTAACTCCTAATTTCCCAATTTCTTCCAATAGATCAAGGACATATTTCCTTTGGAAGATAACAATGCTATGTCTAGACCGGACCACTTCAATTCCCAAGAAATATCGCAAATCACCTAGGTCTTTCACTTCAAACTCCTTGTTAAGTAGTTGTTGAAGAGAATCAATCTCATCAATGTTATTGCCTATCACCACAATATCATCAACATACACAACAAGGAAAGTCAAGGAAGAGCCTGCTTTCTTAATAAAAAGGGTGTGATTAGATTAGGCTTGTACATAACCAAACTTCTCCAAGGCAAGTTAAAATCTGTCATACCACACCCTGGGAGATTGCTTAAGACCATACAAAGCCTTCTTCAACTGAAAATTTTTCTTTCCTAAATCTGTATCATAAAACCTAGGGGCAATTCCATATATACCTCATCCTACATATCACCATTGAGGAAGGCATTCTTAACATCCATCTAAAACAAATTAATTGAAGGGGATTCTAAGGTGATTGTGGGCTGGCTGTCAAATCCAGACTCAGTTGTTTGGAATTATAGGGATCTCATCAAAAAAGTTAAATGTTTAACAAGGCACATAACATGTAGATATTAGTGGGTGGGTAGGGAGGCAAATGCCTTGGCTGATTATCTTGCTAAACAGGGGCCTCTACTAGGGACCATTTATTTTGGGCAGCATTGTAATTTTACTTCTGATCTCTTGTAATGTTTAGGGGAGGCTGCATCTCGTGCCTCTCCAAGGGATTCTTGTAAAATCTTATTTCTCTTGATTAATGAAATCATTTTCGATTATCAAAAAAAAAAAGGAAAAAAACATCCATCTAAAACAACAACCATAAGAAATTCACAACAATGGACAACAATACTACAATGGTGTTCATCTTCGCGACTAGTGCAAAGGTTTCTAAGTAATTAATACCATAAGCCTGTGTATACCCCTTTGCAACCAGTCGGGCCTTATATCTTTCAACTCAGCTATCTACATCGTATTTCACTATAAATGCCCATATGCACCCAATGGGTTTCTTCCCTTCCAATTGATACACTAACTCCCATATAGTATTTTTAATGAGAGCATCCATCTCTACCTTCATTGCATCCTTCCACTCAAGGACTAACAAGGCTTCCTACATTGTTCTAGGAATAGATATAGCAACAGTGGATGCCAAAAAAGATTTATAAGATGGTGAAAGGTTGTTAAAAGAAAGAAACTGGGAGATGCAATGGGCAATAGATGAGATACAACAACATTTCCTTGCAAACTGCAATAAGGAGGTCAAGGCCATCTGAGGGAGGTCGAGGCTTAGTAGTGGTAGGTATGTCATCTGCAATAATAGTAGGTAAAGGAGCTATATAACACCTAGATCTAGCACTGCAGAAGAGACTGGAACTGGCCTAGACTGCTCGTGAACAAAATCAACCTACCTCCACCACCTGTGAAACATCCTTAATTCTTTACACTTTGAATAATTCTCTTCACTATACTCCCCTTCAATGATTGGAACAAGTAATGGGACGTTAGGAGCAAAAAATGCCCTTCTCACCACTCTCCTTCTGAGATGAAACCCTGGGATAATAGGGGGCATTCTCAAAGAAAGTAACATCCATAAGCACAAAACAAGTCGCAAAGAGAGGATCATAGCAACAATACACCCCTTGATTTTATACATACCCAAGAAAAATACACTTGGTAGCCTTAGGATCAAATTTAGAACAATGAAGTCCAAGAATTTGAACGAAGCAAGTTCACCAAAACATCTTAAGGGGAATAGTGAACAAGTCTTTATCTAGATATAAAAGATCAAAAGGGGTCTTCATATCTAGAACCCACGAGGAAACCCTGTTGATGAGATACACAGCTGTGGATGGCATGCCCAAAAGACGTAAAGGAACATTAAAATTCAGCATGATACTTCTGGCAACTTCCAAGATGTGTCTATTCTTTCTTTCAATTATTCCATTTCGCTGAGGTGTGTGGGGACAGGTACTCTGATGGATAAGTCCATACTCAAGGAAATATGAGACCAAGGGTTTGGAAAAGTACTCCTTGGCATTATCAAATCTGAAAGTTTTGATTCCAATTCCAACCTAGGTAAGAACCATTTTATGGAAAGCACCGATCAAAGTAGGGACCTCATCTCGAGAGCCCATAAGTTAAACCCATGAGAAACCTGAATGTCATCAACAAACAATAGGAAATATCTATATCCCTCCATAGTATGAGTATGATATGGCCCCCAAACATTAGTATGCACAATTTCAAAAGGAATAATGCTTCTTTTAGTACTTAATGAATAAGTTGATCTACAATGCTTTACAAGTTCACAACTCTCATATATCAAATTGGATACTTAGATTAACTCAAACAAAGTAGGAAAAAGACTCATCAAAGACCCAAAAGATAAATGACCCAACCGATTATGCCAAAGCATAATCTAACTCACAGACTAAAAAACAAAAGACCTCCGAACTTCTTTATTATTCCCAGGTGGATTCTCAAGCAAGTAGATTCCATTTGCCTCACAACCAGTTCCATTCACCTTCCTTGTCACTAGATTCTAAAATACACAATGATCAGGGGAAAAGGTCACTAAACAATTCTGATTTTTAGTAATACTATTAACTGAAAGCAGATAAGTACTAAGCTTAGGAACATCCGAACATGTAAGACTGAGGATAAGGAAATGGCATTAGACACTCTGATGTCTCCCTCGCCAGAAATAGGACAAGATAGACATTAACAATAAATACTTTGTCTCGACCAAAGAATAGGCAATAAGAGGTAAACAAAGAAGACATGCTAGTTGTATGATTAGAGGTACCCAAATCTACAATCCAAAAAAAATCTAGTGTTACTTGGGGCTACAGCATGATAGGCAATAGCTCTTGTACCTAAGTGTGCAAAAGATAAAGTGGGAGTAGTAGGTATAGTAGTTGGTTGAGATGATCCAGTAATACTAGATTCACTCTCCAACTAGGTCAAAGCAACTCTGACTACAACCAAAGCATCTAGAGAAGTGAATCTTCTGCAAGAAGGTGAAGCATCAATAGTAACAATCGCATTAGCATTCCCCTTCTTATTCTTGAGCCTTGTTGGAATAAGATGAGGATGAAGCTTCCAACAAGTTGTCCCTAGTGTGCTTCAACTTCTTACAATAATCACATAATATCTCCCTATTTTCTTCCTTCTTCATATCTTTCTCTTTATCACCACTATGCTTTGGCTTTACAACCACTAAAGTTGCTTCCATACGTGGACTTTGTAACATAACCTTCCTACTTTCTTAATTGTGTACTAGTGAATAAACTTGAGACAAGGTAACATTGTCTCTAGTAAGTAGTTTTTGCCTCACAATGTCATAGTCTGGCTAGCAAGGAATTCAAACACCCTTTTTTATAAGTAATTCAAAGACCCTTTTTGTTTCAACCAACTTCCCATATGTTGTTGCATCCTTATAGATTTCTCTCTCAATTGTTTCTAAGTGATYAATTTCATGCTATAAAGATTTAGAGTAGAGAAGTAAACTAATATAGGTTTCTCCCCCTATTTAAGATTATTTACTTTTTTTTGATAAATTTTAAGATTATTTACTTTACTCTTCAACTAATAAGCTCTAGCAACATTAAGACATCGGGAGTAAGTCTTTTTCATGTTTTCCCAAATCTCCTTAGCTATTTTCACCCACAAATAATTTTTATTTATGTGAGGCTACATTGAGTTGCATAGCCAAGTCATCACCAAATAATTTTCTTGAACCCATTTGGCATGAGATGGGTTTTCCTTAGCTGGCTTCTTTGTATCTCCAATCACATATCTTAGTTTTCTCCTACCTCCAATGGCCATCATGGATGATTAAGCCCACTCCAAGTAATTGGTTCCATCAAGAAAAAATACCCAATTTCAGTCTTCACAAGGCTGAAAGGTGTGTACAGAAACCCAAATCAAATGATAGTCCTCCAAAACTTTCTAGAAATTCCAACAAAGGCAATTAAATTAATAAAGTAATAGGCTGGGTATCAAAAAACTGCTCAAAAATTTAAGGGAAACCCCAGAACCAACCCTAGAGAAAACCAAATCCATCAACCGCTCCTTCCAGAAGGATCCAAACACCTTCTAGCTATTGATCTCAATAAGAGTGATAAGTCTACCCAGAAATCTTTGAGCACCACTTCCAATCCAAGGTTTAAGCCCTAAACATTGAACATAACTGGTTTCTCTAATTCTTCCAGGTCATGGGCAATCTCCAAGATCACACAACACCTTGGGCAGCAATTGGACTCTCCAATAACCTCCAAGAATCATACGACATATGCTGAATCTGTGAACTGAATTCAGATCTAGAAGAAAACATATCTAGGGGTGTCCAGAATAGTTGACCCCCACCCCCAAAGAGCCTCTTTTTATATTAAAGAGATAAAAAGTATGTACAATTACAAGAATGCCCTTACAGGGCTGAAAGATAAAAAGAACAAATAAAATAATAAGAACTATGACACTGTACAACAAGGGCTACTCTAATAATGTACATCAAGATATATCTTCACACTCCCCCCTCAAACTGATGCGTAGACATCAACATCAGTTTGCCTACAAGAATGAGATGTCGACTTTTAGTCATGGCCTTGGTGAAGTGGTCAGCAATCTGCATGTGAGAGGCAACATGAGGAAGAGATATAGAGCCTACAACAAGGAGGTCTCTAATAAAGTGACAATCCACCTCGATATGTTTAGTCCTCTCATAAAAGACTGGATTAGATGCGATCTTGATAGTGTTGGTGTTGTTGGCATATAGAGGGATAGGAGTAGGAAGAGAAATCCCAAGATCAATGAAAAGTGATTTCAGCCAAACAATCTCACCACATGCAGAAGACATAGCTCTATACTCAACTTCAGTGGAAGACTTAGAGAGAGTTTGTTGTTTCTTGCACTTCCAGGAGATGAGAGAGTCACCCATGAAGACACACCACCTAGTAGTGGATCGGCGAGTGTCAGGGCAACCAGCCCAATCAGCATCAGCATAAACCCTCAACTGTATGGATGATGAGGAAGAGAAAAACAGCCCCTGAGAGGTTGTGTCTCGAACATAACAAATGATGCGGCGAACTGCAGTCATATGAGATTGTCTCGAGCCAAAGGCAAATTGACTGACGACCTGAACAGCATGTGAAATATCAAGCCTGGTCATAGTAAGATAGATCAAAGAGCCAACAAGCTGACGGTACAGGGTGGCATCAAGAAGGATGAGGCCTTCGGATTTGGATAATTTGACATTCAACTCCAGGGGGGTATCAACATGTTTCTCGTTAGTGATTCCATCTAGTTTGACGAGATCAGATGCGTATTTTTGTTGACAAATAAAATACCCTCGACTGCTACGATGAACCTCCAAACCCAAGAAGTAAGTGAGAGGACCCAGGTCCTTCATGTGAAATGAATTATGAAGTAAGGGCTTCAGCTCACAAATGTCGTCATAGTCATCCCCCGTTAGGAGCATGTCATCAACATATAATAGAAGAATAGTAATACCTTGGGGTCTTCTCTTAACAAAGAGGGAGTAGTCAAAGGAACTCTAATTATACCCAGTTGCAACAACATCCCAAAAGCGCTCAAACCAAGCCCTGGGTGCTTGCTTCAAGCCATATAAAGACTTCTTCAGGCAACAGACACGTGAAGGATCACTACAATATCCAGGCGGAGGTTTCATGTAGACTGTCTCCTTTAATTCGCCATGAAGGAACGCATTCTTCACATCTAATTGATAAATAGTCCAGGAATAAACAACAGAAATGGCCATAAGAGTCCGAATTGTGGTGATCTTAGCGATTGGGGCAAATGTTTCTTCATAATCAATCCCATATTCCTGACTATATCCTTGGGAAACTAACCGGGCCTTATATCAATCAAGAGAGTCATCTGATTTCAGTTTGATCGTATAGACCCAACGGCTTCCAACAATAGAACCATTTGGAGGAGCTGGCACAAGATCCCAGGTGTCATTCTCATGAAGGGCTTGAATTTCGGCATCCATAGCTTCCTTCCACTGAGAAATTCTAATGACTTGCTGATAAGATCTAGGGATATCTGTGGAAGAAAATACAGCAGAAAAGGAACTATGATTTGAAGGAAAACCATAGCGGTCAGGAGGTCGAGAGATACAAGTAGAATGATGAAGTGGAATAACTGAATTACTATTTGAAATAGGAGGATCTTGGGTCAAGGTATCACTTACAGAGGATATCTGAGATGAATGCTTTGGACCGGGTGGAGGGGGGTTGTAGGCACAAGAGCCGGGACACGTAGCCGCTTGCAGGTGAAGACAAGAAGATCTCTCTCGGTTGAGGAAGTAGTAGTGTCATTTGAATCAAAGTCCTGCAAAATAAAGATGAAAGAAGCAGGCAATCTAGCAACCCCAGCAAAGGAGATATGTTCAAGAAACACAACATTCCGAGAAATCCAAATACGACGAATAGCAAGATCATAACACAAAAATCCTTTGTGGTCAGGACTATATCCCACAAAGGCACACATAGCAGACTGAGCAGTTAATTTAGATCGTTCACGAAAGGAAGATGAACAAAACAAAGATATCCAAAAACATGAAGGCTAGAGAAATCTGGGGGATAAACAAAAAGTTTTTGGGAGAGGTGTTGCCTAGAATAGAGGATGGAAGAAAATTGATCAAATACACGATTGTACTGGCTGCTTCTACCCAAAACGAAATTGGAGTATGAGACTCCTCTAGTAATGTCCGCACAACATTGAGAATGTGTCCGTTCTTCCATTCAGCTACACCATTCTGTTGTGGAGTTTCTGGGCAGCTGCGTTGAGACTGAATTCCATGACTCCTCAAATATGCCAATTAGTCTCCATCTCTATATTCTCCCCCTAAATCTGAGCAGAGGATAGTCATACTGCACTTGAATCGATGTTGCACCATAGTATGAAACAATTTAAATGCACCAAAGACTTCTGATTTGTGTCGCAGAAAATAAATCCAAGTATATCTGGTACAATCATCTATAAATAATACAAAATATTTGTACCCCAATCGTGAAGTAATAGAAACAGACCAAACATCACTATGTATTATCTCAAAAGGTTTAGTGGCATGTTTAGATTTATGAAGAAATGGTAAAACATGACTTTTACTCAAACAACACGTAGTGCAGGAAACATCAAAAGTATCAACAGGGGGAATTTTATTCTTAATCAAACCAGAGTCAAACAAAAATTTTAATTTTTGGGRATATGGATGACCCAATCGTTTATGCCATAAATCCCAAACATTATTTCTATAACTCAATATAGAATCAGACAAAGAACTAAGTAAAGTTGAGGATGCCCTCGGTTGAGACTTCTCGAACTCCAACACAAACAGACGGCCCAGCTTACGCCCCTTCCCTTTCACCTTCCCAATGTACCGGTCCTATATCAAGCAACCATCATGAGAAAAGGTGAGAACATTTCCTCCATCAACAAATTGACCAACAGAAATCAGATTAGTAGTAAGGTTGGGTACTAAGAGGGTTTTGGAGAGAAGAAAGGATCTGGTTGGTGACAGTTGAAGGGACAAATCATTACTACCAATGATGTCTAACTTTTCACCATTATCAGTAATAATATGTTTATGGTGAGTTTTAGTGAAAGGGATTGGGTGGTTGAGGTAGGCTCCTATCATATGGTTGGTGGCACCTGAATCTATAATCCAAGCATGTGAAGGGGAAAAGAACTTACCAGACAAGCCAATAGCAGAGAAAGCAGAGGAAATAGTAGAAGATACCAGTTGCCAAACCTTTTCTTCATCCATGACACCTGTTGATTCACCCTTCATTGAAGACTCACCTATGGTAGATACAACGTCTGTTGCCAGTCCATCTGTTGCCTGATAGGCCCCGGGCTAAGTCTTTTTCTGAGAGCCCTTAGCTAGTCGGACTAGACAATCTAGAATGATGTGACCATGTTGCTAGAAATAGGTATACACATTTTTCTTCTTACAGTGAGATGCAATATGTCCAAAACCCTTACACTCATAGCACTGGGTTTTGGAGAGATCCTTGGAGGTTGGCTTCTTACCCCCATGAGCAATAAAAGCTGTTTCAGCCCCAACTTCAGCCATCTTCCCATTAAACCCGGCTGCAATGAGAAGTCTAGTCTCTTCTCTCAGAAGTTCCCCTAAAACAAAATCCATATCTGGAAGTGTTTCCCTACTCAGAATGTTGGACCTGATTATCTCATATTCAGGTCTAAGTCTCATCAAGAACCGAGTCACCTTTCTCTTCTCAAAGTGCTTTTAAAGATATTTCACACACTCCACTGGAACTGAGGGTTCAATGTGAACAATCTCATATTCAGCCCATAAATCAAGAAAACCAGACTAATACTCCTATATCCTCCTATCTCCTTGGCTATAAGAGAATATTTCTGATTTTATCTGATATTGCTTAGATACGTTGGACTGTTGATAAACTTTTTCTAGATACATGTACATCTCATATGCTGTTTTCGTTCTCCTCATAGGTACAGATATATGATAGTCAATAGAACTCAGAATCTAAGAAACAAGTTTACCATTGTTCAACTTCCATTGTTGTAAAGCTTTGGCCTCGGTCTCAACTGGTTTGGTGACCGTTCCATTCAGATATCCTTCTAAACACTTTCCCTCAACATAAAAGTCGAAGTGGAACTTCCACATCCCATAGTTCTGTCCATTCATCTTTACAAGGATGATATCACCTCTGTCTGAAGCCATTGCAGCAATACAATAGCACAAATAGGATTCGGCTAAAATTTAAAGAAACTAATCTGAAGTAAAACTTGATCCAAAGACAAGTGAAATAGGCTGTAATCAATCCAAGAGAGTCAAAAAACTGAGATAGAAACCCCTTACTTTCACCGAAGTTCAAGATTCAAATCAAAGAAAAGCTGAACACACAGTGCAGAAAAGGAAAGTTTGGGCGCAGCCGCCAAGAAGAAGAGCCCAGATCCCTCTCAAAACTTCACTAACCTCTGTAAAAATTTCAGAATATGTTGAGAAGGGCTAGGCAACAACTCCTTTCAATTCTTGCTGCAAACGAAGGTCAAACAAGAGAGATCCAATGAAATCTCTCTCTCTCAAAGCGCAGAAAACAAAAGAGTTCCTGGATAGATCAAAACATACCACTCGGCAAAGCTGTAGGTTTTCAGTAGATCACGAAGGCAAGATGGATCAGAGAGAAGGAAGATCAAAGAGCAACCTACTCTGATACCATGTGAATTGAATTCAGATCTAGAAGAAAACAGATTTAGGGGTGTCCARAATAGTCGACCCCCACCTCAAAGAGCCTCTTTTATATTAACGAGATAAAAGGTATGTACAGTTACAAGAATGCCCTTACAGGGCTGAAAGATAAAAAGAACAAATAAAATAATAAGAACTATGATACTGTACAACAAGGATTACTCTAATAATGTACATCAAGATATATCTTCACAGAATCTCTAGCCATAGAAAATTTCATGCAACCGGTTATATCAAGACTACATGAGAACCCTAATCAACTCTAGACCTGCTCTGATACCAACTTGGTTGAAAGGGTCTGTAATCGAATGAAATTTTGATGTGAATTGAGCAAAGAAAAGAAGAGGAAGAAGAAGAGAAAAGAGAGAAGAAAGAATGAGAGAAAAGAGGTGCAGTAAGTTGTGGTCCTGCCACCCCATTAGATATATTTATATGTTAGCAAATAAAAGTCAATACAATGACAATAATGCCTTTGCCACCTATATAAGAAAGAAAAGAAACAATAACATATGGAGGAACTACACAAACTAATCTATTGTATCTCTAGAAAAACTAAGTAACAAACAAATGAATGAGTATATGCAGGTTAATCCTACAAATCACTATTTCTAGCCAATATGTTCTCAAAGACCAAAAAAGATACGCTTTTACTGTTCTACATTGATCACGACAGTTCAGTTCTAATTGAAAATTAAAACAGGTTTTGATGTCACTACCTACCAATGAAAATTTAACCTACTAGAAAGATGTATACTGGCTAAACTGGAAATACTCATATGAGGTAAAAGCAGCTTACCTTCATAAGCACAAAAGCAAAACTATGTCACAAGCAAATTTTTGTTCCTTTCTCCTTTTTTTATGTTAATGGAAATGAAGAAAGAAGGGACTAAACCAACCAACAGATGCAAAGGCAACTACAAAGGTCATGGGTTGACTTTAGTTGTAAAAAGGCCTAATGGCTTCAGTAGGATCAACGTTGTAATTTGTAAGATGTCCCAGTCAAGTTACTTCTGTCATCAATAAAAGAGAGGGAAAAATAGAAAACCTAAAAGTTCTTCCATAGTTACATAATGGACTTAGGTTACCTCCATTATTGGACAAAGGTTCTTCTTCCATGCCTGGAGTAACTGAGTGTGTTCTCACCAATTGAGATTACAATGACCTATTCTACTAATAAAAGTTGGTGAGGAGTTTTAGGGTTATAAGATTTGTTTGGGCCCTTCCAGAAGCCTAAGGTTTTAGGGTTTTACAGTTTTATGGTTAATGGATATGGAACTGGACAGAGCAAAATGGTAGAAGGTGAGTTGAATTGCGTTGAATTGCATTTGGGCCCATTAGTTTATGCTTTTAAGTTGTGACTGTTCAGATACATTAGTAGCCGCCCTACTAAGGGCATCCTTGTAATATCTCATCCTTTAAGTTAAGTATAAATATAATGAGGGGTTGGCGGCTGGGGTTAATTTAAGAATCCCGGTTGACTTCCTACTCTTTTCTCCCTCTCTTTTCTTCTCTACTACTGAGATCTTTATCTTCCTCCCCTTCATCTTTCACAAGAAATTCAACTAAATCTACAATCAGTGATTTCTACTTGGTATCAGAGCAGGCCGAAGGTTCCTTGAGTTGTTTCCTCATGCAACCCTAGATCGGCCGACTGCATGGTGATTTAAGAGGCTGATCGAAGTTCTCAGGTAAGCCCAATTTTTGGATTTTTTGGTGGATCTGTGTGCCCTGTAGCTGGTCTAGGGTTTCTCATCAAAATCAGGAAAAACTAGAGAAAGGGGAAGAGTTCTGTTTCTGTTGGACTCTTCAATTTTGACCTAGGAAGTGGTGCCCTAATTTTTTAGGGTTCCTTGGAGTTTTCTATAAGGGGCAGTTCAAGTCCTGCTTGATTTGGAGGCTTCTAGAGAGAGCGACTGCCTCTTCTCTCCTCTCGTCCTACAGAAAAGGAATCTTTTGTGGAAAGACAGTTTAGGACACCAAAAAGGTGTTGTTGGTTCCAGAAGTGTTTCGTTTGATCTTGTTACATATTTCAATTATTTTCTTTACATTGTTTGAGAAGCATGGAGGGTCACGGAGTTGAAAATAAGCCCGG